AGTCTAGGGTCCCATAGGGGACGTAGATGTTAGGATGAGCCTGGTTTGGTTGCGTTACTGGATATGACAATTAGGCGGTACCCAACGCATGCAATCTGCAGATATGCACCACTATGGTATCCTCCAACACTGTGTGTGGGGCCTTGGGCTTTATTTGCATTATCGCATTTATCCTCCCGATCACCTAACGGGTAGGTGTAATTATCCCCATTTTCGGGAGAGGAACTCACGGTTGAGAGAGGCTGGAGCTTGCAAGTGATTGAGAAGGGGTTGGAACCCTACTAGTTAGATCCACAGCTCATTGTTCATGGCAGAAATGAGTTTCTGCAAGAAAGTGAAAAAGAAAAAATCATGACACTGTAAAGGCAACATGTTTTAGTGCATTACCCTAACACTGATGCAAGCGCTAACGCTAAGGCAAACGCTAACGCTGACGCAAACGCAAGCGCTGACGCTGACGCAGACGCAAACGCTAACACTAACGCTGACGCAAACGCCAACGCTAAACGCTGACGCAAAGCGCTAACGCTAACGCTGACGCAAACATTGACGCAGACGCAAACGCAAAAAGCGCTAACGCTGACGCAAACATTGACGCAGACGCAAACGCAAATGCAAAAGCGCTGATGCAAACGCTAACACTAACTCTGACGCAAACTCAAACGCTAACACAAACGCTAACGCCAATGCAGAAGCTAAGGCTAACGTAAATGCAAACACAAGCGCTAACGCAGTCGCAAAGCCAACGCTAACGTGGACAGAACACACAGGACTGGGAGCCAAAACCTGGGTTTCCAATCCTGATTATGTCATTCAATGTGTGTAGCCTTGAGCAAGTCCTTTTCTACACAGAGAACTCAATTTACCTGTCAAGAAAGGGGTTGTGATCAATGATCTCCATGGCCTCTATCATGCTGGAATGCTCTGAAGTCAAACTGAGACTTAAAAGGATGTCCAGTTGTGGGAACCGCAGTTAGCGTAATGGCTATGTCACTGGACTCCCACGTACTTGACCGTGGTTCGCGTCCCGGACCTGGTGGCTTAAAGCTCATGCCAGGTGCATGTGCGTGTGTCCCCAAGATCCCGAGAGGAGAATAGAGGAGAGGGATTGCACCGTCACCATTCCCCTTGGGGGGGTGATTTATCACTTTCTGTCTCGATGTCTCTCTGTCTGTCTGGCGAGTGCATGCGCCCTGTAGCAAAAGCCTCTCCAAAAAGAAAAAAAAAAAGATGTCCAGTTGTGACTTCGAACAGATGAATTTTCTCACAAATCATAACTATTAAGAAAAAGTATCCATGGGGCTGGCAGGTGGCATGGGGGTTAAGGGCACCAGACGCCCACATAGCCAGCCACAGTTTGAGTCCTGGACCTGGCAGCTTGCTTTCTCACTTTCTCTCTCTCTTTCTCTCTCTCTCTCCCTCATTCTTTCTCTCTCTGGTCAAGTTGAAATAAATAAATAAATGGATAAAGTTAAGTAAAATAATTCTTAAAAAAAAAAAGTATCCCAAACTAGATGTAAAGTTTGAAGCTCTCCGAGCTCAGCCACAAGTCACCTGGCGCTTTGAGGGATGAAACTGCCCAACTCCCTGAGGACATTTTACAAAAACAGCTGAAACAGTGTGAAAACAAAATGCAACCATGGGCATTTTAAAGTCGATTTTAGTGTTGTGGGTAGGGGGTGGTGGGGGAGAAGATGAGGGCTAGGATTAGGGAAAACACATTCCAGGAGGAGGCCAACTGGGAAGCAGAAGGGAAAGGTAAGAAGAGAATCGGCATGGGGGGCCTACTGGGTGGAGTGGCTACAGGAGCCTGTCCAAGAACCCCGTTTTCCTGTCACCTCCCTCCGTGCTGACACTCAGTGCTGGCTTGTTTGGTGTTTGCATCCTCTCTCCCTTCTCTCCCTTCTTCCCTTCGGAACTAAGGTGTGCACTTCTTTTCATAATTGAAGTGAACTTGAATTAATATTGTCTTGAACATTTGATAACACCTTTGAAGTAAGTGAAGGCATCCCAAGATCCTCAAAGGAGAATTTGGATTAGGCATATATTGGGGGTGTGTGTCTGTGTATGTATGTTTGTTACACTGAGCCACAGTTGATTGGCGGGTCTCCCCTTACATAAATGAGGGCATGTATGAAATAAGTCAGTCCTCTGTATCAATGCGTTTCATACCCATCAATAATATTCCATCAAAAATATCTGGGAACGAGAACACCAAAAAATAACCATACAATGAAAACTAATATACTAGGTCGTTAGGGAAGTCATGACAGGTTTTTCTTTTTTTTTTTTCTTTTTTTTTTTCATTTTTTTTTTTTTTTTAC